CAATGTTATACACATGTTTGCATCTTTCCCCGTGCCACAGATTTTGAGTTTTTTTTAAAGACACAATTAAGTCTTTGGATTTTTTAAGATTTGGATTTTTTAAAGACACAATGGAGTCTCTAGGATTTTTTAAAAAATCTTTCTAATCCTTTATCTCATGATACCTAAAAACAATTTTCCATCCCAATTTTGCCCTCTTCTCTTGGGCAATTGGTAACATTTTCCTGTTTTGAACAGAGCTGATATTACTATGGTTATTATTTTGTTTGCTTTTAAATAATAAACAGGGTTGGCAGAAATCAATATTTATTTTATAATTTTGACAGATAATTTTTATTTTTAAGCATAATTTTTCTATTTTTATCAATTTTAAATGTTCAGAGCAGTCAGAAATTATGGTGGATCAGACAATAGGGGGGTTCAATAATAATTATTCAATGACAGTAGATGTTGAGACATAACGTTATAACTGTTAAAACACTAGCTGTCAACTCACATCAAAATATACAAACTAAATACCCTTAAATCAAACTATAAAAAGTTATCAAGCAGCATTTTTCTTACTTTGCCTATCTGTAAATTTCAGTTATTATCAACGGAAATATTTTTCACAGGTGTTTGTCCAGAGAAATCCACATTTATCAACATTTCCAGGCAAAAATCTAATCCTTACAAGCCTCCTACCAAAACATCAACAGCCCTGAGCAATGCTGAACGGTGTTGGTTACTTAGGAGCTAATGCAAAGCCAGGGGAAGGACTACAATGCACCATTTTTGTGAGCCCCACCAAAAGCAGTTTACAGATTATATAAAAATGGAATAACAGCCTAGTAGATGGTTGTAATAATGAGATATTTTAGTGTCTGGATGTGTGGGGGCAGGAGTTTCAACTATAAAAACATCTGTATAAAGAGTTTCTAACTCTTGGCAAAAAGAAAAGGAGTACTTGTGGCACCTTAGGGACTAACAAATTTATTTGAGCATCACAGACACCAGTGCCAGCTTCCAGGTCCCGAGGGGAGACGGGCCTGCCCCACGTGGCTATCTCTGATGCTCAAATAAATTTGCTAGTCTCTAAGATGACACAAGTACTCCTTTTCTTTTTGCAGATACAGACTAACACGCTGCTACTCTGTAATTCTTGGCAGTGCCCCTTTAAGCACCTCATGGGCCTGAGACTGATTTCCCCAAAGGAAACGCGGAGCACTTTTATTACTGCGCAAGGAAGGCTCAGGTGCCGCTACAGCTCCCGAGTCCCGACTTTCCCTGGGAAAAAGAAACAACATCAAGCGTACAGAGAGGCTGGGACGCCCAACTCCTGAGGCGGGCAGGCAGGGCGAGGTTCCCCACAGGTGAGGGCGACCCGCTTGCTGCGGGAGTCTCTCCAGAAGCGCCACCCGGCTCTTGGGGAGGGACCCTGTTTTGTATCCCGAAAAGCAAGGATTGCGCCGGGCGGAGAAGAGGGTTTCCTGGGTCAATCAGCCCAGGGACAGAGGGAATAGCTAGTATGTGTGGGCTGCAGCCGGCCATGCGACGCTGGGGCAGACGGCGTGGGAGGGCGGCTCGACCCTACAGCGGCACCTGGCCCTGGGCTGCGTCCGCCAGCCACACGGCGATCACAGCAGCCGCCTGACGCGCTGCCTCGCCCGCCGACCCCAGCCTATCCTCCTCGACCTCCGGCCGCGCCCCCGACCGCGTGGGCCGAGGACGGGGCTCCGCAGAGCAGCGGAGGATTCACTAGCCTTGGGAGGCCGGCCCCGGCCCCGAGCACGGGCCAGAAGGGTCCGCGTCGTACCCCAGCCGGGTGTGTCCCCTCCCGGCCCTGCGGGGTGGGAGGGGCGGCTGCTGGGGCTGCTCCACGCCTGGCAGCGGCGGCGGCAGCGGCGGCAGCTCCGGCCCGACTCCCCTTCAGCGCGGAGGCGCCAGAGCTGGCGCTGTCACATGATGCGGTTCCTGGAAAGTTCCTGGAAAGCAGCCTGTGCAGTCACCAGCGCGGGGAGGCGGGGGGCGCCCTGGGCTGAATACGTGCACGCGGCCCCGCGCTGCCCGGGGGCGGCACGAGCCAGCTCCCCTTAGCAGAGGCCTGCGCGGTGCAGCAGAGAGGGGCTCCCCGTCCGCCTCCCGCTTCCGCGCGCGCGGTTCGCCCTGGGGGCCCTGCCCGGCGGGGCGCCGCCTGCTCTGCGCAGTAACAGCCCAGAGAATAAGAGCAACCTGCTTGCCCCCCCCCTCCCCCGAGCCCGCCTGGCGGCCCCCACCTGGCTTCTTGTCTCCAAGTCCCGCCGCCCGGCTACTGACCCAGGGACGCTGGTGAGGCGAAGGTAAGAGCCGGGCTCGGTTCCCCAGACGCCTTCCTCTGCGGCCGCCCGGCTCCGGCCGCGCCAGGCGGTTTTGTTGGCGGGGCCGCGTGTTCCTCGACAGCAGCAACGGCGGCGGCGCCCTGGCTGGAGCGAGGCGGCCCCTCCGCTCCTTCCCCGCGCTGCGGACTCGGCCCCTCGGCTCGAGCTGCGCCCCCGGGGCTCCTAGCCAGGTCCGCCGCCCGGCGGGAGGTGAGTCTCCGCGCCGAGTGGGGGGCTGCCCCGTTTGCCTGCGGGCGGCTCCTTCCCCTGCTGGGCGCGGGCCGAGGTCGCTCCGGCACTCGGGAAGCGGGCGCGGGGAAGCGCGGGCTGGGGCTCGGCGGTAAATCTCGCTCTCCTCTCCGCTTGCAGGCTGCGGCGGGCGAGCGCGGCCGGGCGCCCCGGGCAAGGGGCATGTCCGAGCGGCGCTGAGAGCCGGGCGCCGCGGGGCTGGAGCGGAGTCTTCCCGGGCTGTCACCGGCGGGTGACTTCTGCCTCCCCGCAAATGACTCTGCGCTCTTCCGAGTCCTCGGATGGTGCGGAGCGGGCCGGGGCCGAGTGGCGGGGTCCCGGGGCTGAGGTGACCGAGAGGGCGGCGGCGGAGCGCCTGGCCGCGGCCATGGAGGAGCTGAGGCGGGCAGGTGAGCGAGCGAGCGAGGCGGGGGGACAAGCGCTTTTCCCGGGGAATCGGCCGGGCACATGCATCGCGGCTGAGCCGGGCGACCGCAGGGCTTGGCCCCGGGGCACTTGTCTGCCGCCTGGGGAGGTGGAGGTAGCCGCGGCGTGGAGGTGCCTCAACCTATCGCTGCCCCTTGCAGAGCCGGGCTTGCTTCCCCGGGAGTTTGGGCAGGCGGGCGGCCGGTGGGAGCGTCCCGTATCTCCCTCAGTGGCAGATAAGCTGCCTCCTAGCCCAAAGGCTGGGTCACATCCCCATCTTGGCGGGGGCTGGCTTCGCTGCCCTCCCCTCCGACTCCGCGGGCAGAGATGCCGCTTCCTCCGGCTAGCCCCGGCCCGATCAGCCTCTGCGCCAGATGGCGGGGCGCGGGAGACTCGCGAGGAGTCGCCTTGCCCAGGCTCCCTTCCCTCGGGCTGCGGGCGGACTAGCGATTTGTAGCAATTTCGTGCTGATCCGCTCGCCATTGGGTCACCCAGCGCTGCGCGCCCTGGAACCACGTCGCTTTTAACTGCTCGTAAATTTTTTTGTTTTGTTTTGCTGCGGTGACTGCTTCTTAGAAACCAGCTCGGGGCGGGGGCTTTGTTTCTTATCTCTCTGTCTTTAGGTAGAGGAGAAGGAAGAGACAAAACCTCAGTTCTATACGCAGCAATGAACGGGGGAGGAAACTAATACAATTGTAGATTACTGGGTTTCTATTTTAAAAATAAATAGAAAACTTTTTAAAAAAAATCCTCTAACTTCAAGTTGCCTGTTTTGGAAAGATGGTATCTGGTGGAAAAACTACTCTTACAAATTCTCTGTGACAACCATCTTTTTTCTTAAAGATTGCTTCACTTTATATATAAAAATTAAGCCTTAATAAAATCATGAAACACTTAAATTGCATTGTTATCCCAGATGGAATTCAGAATTACTGTCCAGGGAAAAATAAATGGTTAAAAATAGTATCAAACTTGAATTTCCCAAAGTCCAGAAGAGTTTAGCTTAGCCCTCTGAAATTCCCATGCACTTTTTTTAAAAACCTCTTCAGTTATATTTATATCACTCAAATGTGGAAAAGGAAAAATAGCTCATCATACAGCTGTAGAAATTATTGTTTTTTAAAGTGAAGGATACTTGTAGGTCACAGGACAATCAAAGGCATTACAAAATGCAAGATTTTTATCTTCATTAGACTGCCAGAATGGAAGCCTTGTCTCTCAACATGGATTTCCTCTTACTTGTACTGTCTTATTTCTAATTAATACAGATATCATTTGACTAATAAGCTAACCAGAATTATTAAAAGTAGGATCATTCTTGACTTCAAGCATTTATGTAGTTTGATATGAACTTATTTGGGATGTTGTACACAGGATGGTATATGATGGTTTCCCCCATAGTTGTCAGCAAATTTTGAAATCTAATACTTATTCACACAGGGATACACATGGAAATAGTGACCTGACAGGGTCAGGATGACACATTGTACAATAAACTAAATTAAATATTTAATAGACATTCTACGATGCTTGCTTCTTGGCAAGTTATAGTACTTTTTCTAGTGATAAAGGAAATAAGATACTATAAAAACTTTTTGCAATTTTTGTGTGGAGAAAAAACAACAACCAACCTTCTCCCTCTTCTAACAGGGTGGTACTGGGGCAGTATGAATGTTGCTGAAGCCAAAGAGAGATTACAGGATACTCCTGAAGGTACTTTCTTGGTTAGAGACAGCTCCCATTCGGAGTACCTACTGACTATCTCAGTGAAAACATCAGCTGGACCAACCAATCTGCGTATCGAGTATCAAGACGGCAAATTCAGACTGGACTCCATTGTATGTGTCAGATCTCGGCTTAAACAATTTGATAGTGTGGTCCATTTGATTGAATACTACGTTCTTACATGCAAGGATAGAAAAACTGGGCCTGAAACTCCATCAAATGGAACAGTGCATCTTTATTTGAACAAACCTCTATATACTTCAACTCCATCTTTGCAACATCGCTGTAGAATAACTATAAACAAATGTACAAATAAGATCTTGGAACTGCCTTTACCAACAAGATTAAAAGAGTACTTGAAAGAGTATCAATACCAGGTATAAATATCTTTTCTAAATATGTCTCACATAGAGTAACTTTGAATGCAACTATTAAGATCAGCCAAAGAACTGAGTATCCAGCTGTACAATTCAGCATGGAATTTATTATTAAAATAGGGTCAGTCGGGGGGGGTGGGTGAAAAGGGAAGGTTTGGATTTTAAAATGCCTCCAAATAAGGTTCTGCGCAGAGCCTTCCCAAATCATATTTTTGATGGGAGTGGAGGGGGTGAGGCTGCAGTCTCTTTAACAAGGTATGTTGGCATCATATTAACTTGTGAGGACTTGGGATCCTGTCCAAAATGTAGTGTTATGTTTGAAGAAAATGGTGTAGAGCACTATAATGGCCACCATTGGTACATAAAATAGCAAAGATGATACTTGTATTACAGTAGCTCCCAGAAGCTGTAAATGGGATGAAGACCCTACTCTCATAAGTGTGTGTGTGTACACACACATATGTAATTTAGACTGAGGCACAGATGCATGTGTGCACACGTGTGTGTGTGTGTGTAACAGTAGGGTAATAGAAATATGTGTTTACATAGGGGAACTGGTCCACAGTTTGTTGCTCAGTCATCACTTTTATAAACAGGCAAAGGATTAAGATTATCTTAATGTCTGCTTTTTCAAATAGAACAGAGTTTGAACAAGGACTGCCAAGACTCACTATAAGCTAAACCTGCCCAGTTTGAAATGCTGCAAAATAAACTGGGGTTCTTGTTTTTGAGCAAAACTCCTTTATGCTACTGTCCAGACCCAATATCCACTAATCTAAAGAGACTTCAGTCTATATGACAAGAATCCCCCAACTCATGCTCCAAGGCCCACTTGAAGCATTTTTAGAGTAGCAGTTTTTCTTTTTCGTTGGGTTTTTTTTTTTTTTTCCTTTCTGTATTTGATTTCCTAGAAGTGCGCAAGAGTAGAGCTCTCTGATCCCATCATGCCTTCTTGATCTAACCACTGGTCTGTTTTTTGGGGAACCCTAATTCTGGAGTACCTTGGGACCAAGGCCTCATGTATGGCATGCTGGACCTGGAGATTGCTGCAAGGCTCTGTCTCCCAGTAGCAAACCAGAACATTTGGCAGCAGCTACCAAAGCACAGTCTCCCTCTATTCTGCTATTTACTTGTTTCATGTATATTTTCAGTATTTGCAGATTCACTTGTATTGAAAACCCATGACTGCACTACCGTTGTTGGCTGGAAATTTGAGTTGGGTGGGGGATAGTTTTAGCCCTAGTGGCATTTAGTGCTTTCTGTCTCCTCCCTTCTCTTCTTCACCCCTGCGCGATCCATTGAGAGATGCTACTACTGCCAAAAGCAAGATCTTATGCTTGCTGATAACTAACTGCTGGTGGTGTGGTTTATTATTGTTTTTTTTTTTGCTTTTGGCAAATGTGATATTTAATGGTCATTTGGCTTCAGGGATGCCACAGGGTGGAGGGGAGGTATTGTACTAAGTTGTGGGGGGAGGGGAAGGAAAGACTACACACTCCTAAAGATAGTCCTTACCCCCACAAAGAATGGAACATGTGTTAGAAAAGTGGATCAAAAAATTAGAGTTGTTTTGGGGAGTAGGGTTGTTAGGAGGCAACAGTAAGTTACTGACTTTGTACAATGAATGTGAGTCATGGCTTGCCAGTGACAGTGGGCCAGCAGGTGTCTTGTAGGTCTCGCAGCATAGTTAGATGGGTTTTTGTTGGAGGCTTTTCAATGTATATGGGTCAGCAAAAGAGAAGGTGAAGACTGGGAATGTCAGCCAAGTGAAGGAGACAGTACCTTATTATCCTATCAATCAGCTAGGTAGGGTGGGATTAGAAGTGCTCCTTGGCAGGGCTGGATTAACCTTTTGTGGGCCCAGTGCCAAACATATTTGTGGGCCCCCATGGAGGTAATGGAGCATGGCGCGGGGAGGTCAGTCCCCAGAGCGAGGGGCCAGCCAGAGGCAATGGGGCATGCCATGGCAGGGGCGGCCCTGTTCTGCCCAAAGCGAGGGCACTGTTTACAAACTGGCAGTTGCCAGATGCATAGTGGCCTGCCTAGCCCTATGCTGCCAGCATGCCCCTTCCCCTTGGGGGCAGGCCCATGCCACACCACACAGTCCCCCTGCCCAACAGCCCCGCAACTCCCTATGGCCAGACCCACCCACAAATGCATAGCACCCTGCACAACACTACCCCTGCCCACAGCCCCACTACAACTGCCCAGCACTCTCCCTAGTGCCCTAACACACACACCTTCCCCACCCCCTCACAGCCCAGCCCCACCCACAGCCCCCAAGAGACCCACTCCCCCACACCCTACTTCCTGGCCACACTCACTGGCCTGCTGGGAGGCAACTGTGTCTGCCAGGCTGAGCTGGCAGCGCAGCCAAGGCTGGTCCCAGGGCCGGGAATTGCTCTGTCCCTTCAGGAGAGGTGCAGTCAGCCAGGCCAGGCCTGCCCTGGCCAGGCTCTCTCAAGATGCACTTGCCTAGAGGGGCCTAGCCAAGCCCCCCCCACATTGTCCTCCTGCTGCGCCCTCTCCCCCCTCCCCTCCTCGGCTGAGACTGGCCAGACTTCTGCACCAGCTCAGCTCTGGGGAGACAGGAAGGGCCCCACAGGTGGTAGGAAGCAGAGAGGCGGAGGTGCACTGGGGTCCGGGCAGGGGCCTGAGAGGGGCAGGGGGTGGGGCCAGGGAGCAGAGAGGAACCCTTTGCCACCTGGCGGGCAGGCCAAGAGGAGCAAGTGGTGGTGGTGGGGGGGGGAGAGCTAGCGGGGTCTCGGGGCGCAGTGCAAGTGGAGCAGGCCAGGGCCCCTTCTGAGCATGGGCCCGGCTCCGTGGAGCCACTGGCGCCATTGAAATCCGGAACTGCTTCTTGGTAAAGACAAGCAGCTTGTGCTTAATGTACTGGAGGGACGTAGTGGTGGTGGATGTGATATGCTTTGAAGAAACAGCATTTTGAATAGATTTGAGGGCAAACATCCTCCCTTTGAAAGCCTAGGTCAGTGGTTCTCAAACTTTTGTACTGGTGACCCCTTTCACATAGCAAGCCTCTGAGTGTGACACCCTCCACCCCCTTATAAATTAAAAACACTTTTTAAATATATATTTAACACCATTATAAATGCTGGAAGCAAAGCGGGGTTTGGGGTGGAGGCTGACAGCTCAAGACCCCCCCATGTAAGAATTTTGCAACCCCCTTAGGGATCCCAACTCCCAGTTTGAGAACCCCTGGCCTAGATCTTGTCTACATTACGGACCTTAACACTGGTTCAGCTAGGCTGGTGCAAGCCCCTGGTGTAGACACAGTACACTGGTGTGACTTACCACAACTTGAAACCAGGGTTAATTGCACCAGTGCAAGCCCCACTTCATACTCATACAGTACAGCAGGCTGTGGTAAATTACATTGATGTAAAAATCCCTCATGTAGAGTTGTTCTTCGATTCTAGGGCACAGTCATGAGGCAAACTTCTTAAAAAGCAGTGGGAGTAGGGTGGCTTTGTGGATTTTGCTGCAATGCTTAGAATGTTAATCTTTAAACTCATAGCTCTCTCAATTCCAAATCTGACTCTAACTGCTGTAATGTTGCCTTGAATCTGTAGTAGGCTCAAACAGACTGAATCAGCATTGCTAATCCTAAATGCTCAAAAAATGAGAATCAGAACACAAATCATGAGATTGCATTAAATCAGGAGACTTAAAAAAAAAAAGTGCTGGGTCTTGTTTGCTTTTTTGAGCATTGAAGTTCCATATTTTCCAGTTCTTCCCTGCAACGGTAAGGGCTAGAAACTTATTATTTTTAATTAATTGAAATCTGAGATTCTCTCAATTGCAGGAGGGTGGAACTTTAAGGAAAAAACCCTCCAAGTATTGAAAGACTCATGATGAAAATTACAAGTTGGCAATACAAATACCGAGTGTACTAAAACTCCATACTGAAGTGTGAATTTGGAGGCTCCACCTTTAATTGTTCAATATGGAGGGTTTCAGTGCTGCTTATACCATAGGCAGGGAGAATAAATGGCTCATCTACAAAATGGGTGGATGGGGTGGAAATGTAACCAGGCAGTTGTATCCATCCCATTAAATTTTAATCTGACCTCTTTAATATTGTAATTTATGTAATATTCTGAGTAAACACTCCTATAATTACTGTGCGGCAGGTGTGGAGTTGAGAGGGGAAAATAGTGTGGTCTTCCGTTCTAATGAGCCAATCTTACTTTGCCCACAGCATGGAAGTATAAGAATTAGCCCTTCCTAAATAAAACAGGATGGGCAATGTTCTATTAGTTACCCACCTCTGTCATGGCTCAGACAAACTTCCAGTAGGTAATTTCCTTTACTACAGAAGCTTATACCTAATAGTGGAGTTAAATGAAGCATCTTCCTGTTTCAGCCCAATTAGTTTTATAAGTTTGTTTTGCATACGTACAAAAGGATCTATTGATATTATTCCTATTGAAGCCTTCTCAGTATATGCAGGATTTATTGTTTTCTTCTCCCCTCAAAATATTTGATAGGAAGAGAGCATTTAGAATTGGGTGTCTTTCATGAATAGTCTATTCATGTTTTAAATATCATTGCCTTTCTATCAATAAAATAAACTCTAGGCATTATACTGATGCAGCCAAAATGCATAAATTAAGTGTTTAAAAGGGTTCTCTAATTTATATTTGTGATTTGAAACCCAAATAAGTTTTAAGAAACCTTTTTGTGCGAGAAGAATGGCTTGAACAACGTTGTAGAAATTGTGATATATTCTATTGCATAAAAACATTCCTTCAATTTCCAAACCAGCAGTATAATTAGAAACCACCTCAACGAGTGAGCTAGCCAGTCCACACAAAGGAAGTGGGTGTGAGAATACCTGTTATCTTTATCTGAAGGTCATGAAAACCACCTTTTCATGCTGCCCAATATTGTCTGATTGTTTCCCATCTGTCTGTATCCATCTGTTGTCTCTTATATTGTATGGTCGTTGGAGCAGAGACTGTTGTTTTGTTCGTTGTTTG